AAAAAAAAAAAAAAAAAAAAAAAAAAAAGCATTGTGACAATGCTATAGAAAACGATCCTTGAGGCTGCATTTTTTTTTCTTGCTATAAAAAATTGCTAGTCAGACAGCTTTAGTAATAAGCCTCTCCCACAAAAAGCCTTTTGATTGAAAAAGTCTGAGGAAGAGAGGTCTGTCCCACATGCACTTATCTTATAACTCTGGAGCAGGCTGTAATTCTCCAGTTGAAGACTATGCTCAGTGACAGATCTGTCTGGTTTACATTTTTAAAGTACACTGACTAAACGAAACCATTTAAGATGACTTTAAAAAGTTCTTGGATTGTATTGTTAAGTTTCACAATTTCTGCGTTCATTAAAAAAAACACACTACTTTTTTTTTTTTTTCTTCAAAGGTCAACTGGAAAAATCTTTCCAGGAAAGCTATAACAGGCGAGCGCATCAGGAGTTCCCATCTGCAGCCTTGCGTTATTGTGGAGTTTAGCCCCCAAAATAGGGAGAAACCAAACCCAACCCACACCAAGCGGCCAAGCCATTAACCGCGGGGATGCTGCAGACGTGGCACAGCCGGACACTCAGGTGCCTTTTCAATGTTCCGAGCAGCGCCTCATGCAGAAGCACGACATGTTGAGGGTGAACCTTCCCCACCCTCATCCTTCCCTCGCATCCCAGAGCCTCGCTCAACTCTGCCTGTACTCAACTCTCACTGGATACTCTACTGCATTCTCAATCACTCCATCACCCACAAGAGCAAAAACTGGGGAAAAAGCAGAGGTTTGGGGAATACAGCCCAAGAGAAGATGGAAAGAGACAACAAGCTCAGCTAGAAACCTCTTCAACACGTGGTCAGAGGCAGGACATCTTGGGTCCTGCCACCAAGCACCAACACAACCTACGTTCTCTCCACCCATGCTACAGACACTTCATCTGGCTGTTCTCAGTCTGGCAGGTCCCAAACCAGACACCATGTACACACTGAAAAAAATGCCAGAGGAGCTTAAAAGTCATTGCACATGCATAAAGTTATGGTAGAAAATATTTAGGAACTAGCTATGCGGGTCCTTCCTATGTCTCACGCTCAACTGGCTACCAAGAGGGCTTCGGGCAGTCTTGGAGAAGGCCAAGCCACGAGGCTGACCCTGCAACTTCATTCCCAATGAGAGCTGCCTGCAGGATGGGGACTCAGAAATAACCTAAATAAATTCAGCTGAAAGTACAGAGGAGGGAAATCTCTGGGGGCAAAATGAAAGAGATCTGGAACAATGCGAGGAGGACATTCTGGGGACAGTGGAACAGAAGTGACTTGCTTTTGTTTTCAATTAATAAATGGAACAAATTCCTGAGTCTGTTGTGGACTTCAATTTTATTTTATTTTTTTCCCCTTTAAACTTCTGTAGTGGTTTTAATCCCTCAGAAACATTTTCTTCTCATTAAGCTACATAAAAGCATTAGCAGTTTGTTTAATCTTATTCTAACTTTTGTAATAAACAAATTAACTACTGAGCAATGCAAAAAAAAAAAAAAAAAAAAAAAAAAGAAAGAAAAAATTCAGGAATGGTGCAACAGCTCCATGGAAAAAGAGGTCAAAGAAAGTTTGCAGGACTGATACCTGTTTAATATCTAACTGTCAGAGTTCACAGCTTCAAGCCTTGAGCTTCAAAAAGTTTGTCCGTGCAC